AACGCCCCCAAGCGAACAAACAGTAGCCAGCGGCTTCACACCCACCGCCTTCTACTGTTTAGAATACGTAAGAATCGATATCAGTGAAAACTTCTTCAATTACCGGCAGCTGATGCTGCCAATAAGTTCAGAATCACTGTGCAAGACGGTGGAGCGGTAACGGGAAGTGCTCGGTTCGAATCTCGGTAAAATATTTTCTATCTCAACAAATAATTTTCGTAGTCTTACTCATTTCCAAAATGGAATGCCGGTATAGTACCTTCAAATAAACGAGAACCTCCAACTTCGAATCCTTACTTCGTAGTTCATTGTGATTAGTGAATCTCATTCGATGTTTTGGAACTGACAGCGCGTCGTTAAATACTTAAAAATAAAGCCGCGCAGAATATCTTATTGTAAGAACAAGCAGGTAAGTCACAATTAAGTACCGACTTAAAGAAATTATATCTCTGAAACAAACTTGCGCGACAAGATTATGAAATGATTCGTATCATATACACAGTTTTGTTGACTTCAAAGTCATAATTTATTTAGATCGGGACCTAATTGTGACCCATTCTGCATTTCCGCAATAAAAACAGGATAAAACTGGGCCCCAAGATACTTATTAACTTCCCTGTGTGTAATCATATTTTACTAAAATTTGATGAATTATCAATAATGCATGCCTAATTAAAATGTACTGCGTTAAATTATGTAAAAGGATTTCAAAAAGTTAGTTTAAATAAAATTAAAAAGAATGAAGAATAAGGGGTTTCATTATTTTAACTCTTCACCAAATATGATTAAGATATCAAACCAAGGAGTACAGCATGTAGCACGCACGGACTCTTGAGAAATGCATACAAAATCCCAGTCTGAAGCGTAAACGGAAGATACAGTTCACAAGACATAAGTTTAATGTGAGGAAAATATTAAAGTCGACCTTAAATAAATTTGGTGGGGCGCTGCGTGCTGGATGTATTTGGATTCATAGTTTCCAGTGGCGGACTGTAGAAAGGCGGTAATGAGCCTTTGTGTTCCATAAAATTCGGATAATTTTTAGGACAGCTTAACGACTATTGGCTTCTTAAGGAGTTTTCTACATGGTCTTAGTTCAAACAAAAAAGAACGTTCAATACCTGCGTTATCTACGTTAAGGTTAGCAGAAACTATAAATTAATAATTATAAAGTTACAGTTACAATTACACATCTTAAATCTGTCAGAAATAACCTCAAATATTTTCACCGTCGTGAAGTGTAAAATGTTAGGTACGCTCATGATCTGTCAACACGCCGAATTTCATGTCTAGTTCCGATGTTTTATTAGCTACCATCATATAAATGTAATAGCTTTAGGTTGGCAGCTACGTGTTTGAATTACATTCTTGCAAAATGTTGCGTAGTTTTCTAACATCTATTACAACAACACGCATCAAGTGCTGTTATTGTTGCGACAATCTGCTTCCTGCTTATCACAAAGCAAGCTGAAAGTTTAGCGGAAGCATAGTCAAACATTTGTTCAATGTCAGTGGAAATTAAAAAGAATAGAAACATTGAATTCTGAAACATAAGAACTGAAGTCAAGTAATGTAACTCTCAGTCAAAGTTGTTGAACAGGAAGGCATCTAATCCAACCTAACCTAACCTTATCTAAGATAACCGTACATAACCTAAACTGTCAATAGAATGAATATGGTTGCCTTCTGGGTTGTTGCGCCGTGTAATCTGGTAGAAGTTTACCGACGTTTTAAGGCGATAATGGAGGCAGCAAGGACCTCTGAAATGTCTGTAAACTTCTACCAGACTACACGGCGCAACAAACCAGAAGACAGGCAATAGAATACTTAAATGTACAGAGAATTTATACCTGAGGACGGTTATATATAACCGAAACATGTCGTAAGAGACGTTCCAATTTGTAAATCGATCATTCGATGCGGAACGTGAAATGATATTTTAAATATTTTATATTTTATTATCTTATTAAAATTGTGATTTGACGGAAAATATTAAAATATTAACGAAATATTATAAAACAAAACAGAGCTGGACTGAGTTAAGATGTAAGACATTGGTACAGCACTGACTCTGGACTCTGCTGGTTTACAGCGGATTCTAAACGCAAGGGATAGTAGGTGTGTACAATAAGTACAGTGCAATGCCACAACACGGCAAACAGGTGTTGTGTTGTACACGAACGATTTGGACAGACGCCAATGGCTGTGACGTCACTGGCATTCAAAACATTTCTACCGCATGAGTAACAAAGAATCCGTCGTGACTAAAGAAATAGAAATTAAAATAATTTCTGCATCATAAGTAGTAGTCTACATCCCGAAAAGCATAAGATAGACTGGATATGTAGCATACATGTTTAAAATACTATAGTCACGAAACATAAATATAAAATAATGATTGGTGGACCGAGGCACGGATGGGAGGATACTATTTAAATGTATCTTGGAAAAATATGTGAATATGTAGACTGGATTCAAAAGGATCAGGTTATGGTAGATTTATAGTAGCAACTTCTTTTAAACACGATTATGAACTTTCATGTTCCATGTGAGGCGCGGAATTCCTCGACTAGGTGGGAAACGATTACGCTGAAGATGACTGTCTTCTGGGTTGTTGCACCGTGTAATCTGGTAGACGTTTACCGACGTTTCAGAGGTCCTTGCTGCCCTGATGATGGAGACAGCAAGGACCTCTGAAACGTCGTTAAACTTCTACCAGACTACACAGTGTAACAACCCAGAAGACAGCCATCTTCAGACTCACCGCCGAGAAAACATCAAATCCTACATAACTATTACGTTCTCAAGAAAGACTTGCAACATGGAGAATTAAACTGGTCCATCTTTTTAATTCCGTATAAATGTCATGTCATTTGGGTAACAAATTCTCCGGCATCGCGAAATGCAGGTAGGGGTTACTGTGAGCAGATACGAACTCCACAGTCTTCAGTGTAGATTTCTTCTCCATATAGGCCACCAATTTCAATCAAAATCCATTGACGTGTTATGAGATCAAATGGGTCGTTATGCACTTAATTCTGTAGATGCCCGGAGATCACTCAACTAAGTCTAACATCAGCACTGACATGCGTGAGCCAGTACTCTGCGTGAGACGCGACGCATCTGCTGGAAGGAGTTTTTGTCAAGGATGCTGAGACCCCTAGAGTCACTACATTGACGATCCCAAAACGTACAGCACAGAAACAAGACCACGAACTTTGTCGTAGAATCCCCGGACGTACAAAGATTTTGTGGTGACTAAACTGGCTTGTCTTTTAATTAATAGAATGGCTTTGGATTCAGTCAATATTATTTTACTTTTCAAATTAAAGTCGGCCGGATCTGGAAACACGTCACTAATCTCCCTCTAATTTTGATATATTGAATGATGAAATGTTGTATGGTCATTGTGCCATGGGAGGCTACCCTAAAATATGCCAACATGACGGATGGATGGATGAACTTCTGAGGTGGGAACGATATTAGCGGCACTTATATAGGGCCATAAAATAGTATTCAACCTTGACACTAAATCTTTGTGCAATGCAAAACAACAAGGAGAGCTGTATGAAACAATAACAGAAATCCACTCAAACATGATTCGATCCAATACCCACTAGCGTACGAGTCCAGAACGTCACTACGAAGGTAACTCAAAACTGTGTTATATAACTATGGATTTACATCATTTAAAGATGTAAGAATTAACAACACATGATTTGCAAAGTTAAAAATTATAATTGTCTTAGAAAGATATGTTCTCCTTTATGAAGCTTTTCATTTATAATTAACGGTTCAAGCGACATTCCATCATATTTCTTAAACTATATATTGTATTTATTTATTAGTTTGTAATATGTATAGAAACAAAGCCAATGTTCCCCATTAAAACTGTGCTGATCAAATCATAATCAATTTCCGTTAAAGAAACGACTCAAAACAATAAAAAAAACGTTCAAAGCATATGTTCACATATTTTATTGATCATAATGGAAAGTACGTCTTCTGCGACCTAGCTGTTCAGATACTGAGGACACTCTTGTGTTTTTATATATATATATATATATATATATATATATATTAGACGTTTCCAGCCTTAATGTTTATCGTTATGATATTCATTTTAAATGAAATTATAAATAATTTATTACACTCAAGTTTAAATTATCATAAATAATAACTGTGGTATATTTATTTCGGCTTGAGAACAAACCTTCCGCCTCATTCAAGAGACAATAATAGTCTCAACATGTGTTCAGACGGCAGATGTCAACATTACGTCACAAGGTTAGCGAAATATCATGCACATTTGTATCCAGCACGCGTCAATCAGTATTCAAACAACGCGTCGCGTTAAACAACTGTCCTGCCTTCTAAACAGTTGAATCTCAATTGGTTTATATCATCTCGATGAGAAGTCGGTAAGAATTCATGATGAATGGCGGGTAAGTGGATATTGACTGTATTCTCCGGTATCCTTCGTACTTGAAGGATTCATGTTTGAAGTTTACTTTTGTCTGTTATTTTACAAAACATGAGAATGCTGATTTATCTTAAGTTCTGTTGAAATATTATGTATTGAGAGTGGTAACTGAGATTTTCGGGGGTCCGCAGTGGCCGCGCGGTCAGAGACATGGGCCTTGTTTTCTGAGACCTGGGTTCGAATCCCACTCAAGCCATGGATGTTTGTCCGCGTTTTTCTGTGTTGTGCTGTCCTGTGTACAGGTAGAGGCCTTGCGACGGGCCGATCCCTCGTCCAGGGAGTCCTACCGAATGTCTATAGATGAAGCCAACGAAAAGTTGGGACCCGCAGTGCTTAGGCGCTTGAAGAACAGGTCGTTCCCAGTATCACAGTAACTGAGATTTTCACTGCAGTTCCTGCTCAGTCTTTTGTTTACCACACAGTGTCGAAAAGGTGAAAATAATCTTATTAATGTACGACATTTCATTTTCATCTAACAAAAATACGATTCTGTGCCCTTATACTGTCATATCTGCACTTAGACGAGCTTTGGAGGTAAGTAATCGCGTGCATTATCTACATGATAGCAATAATCGGTAAAGAAATTTAAGAAATCCTTTTCTTTGTCAGTAAGATGTTTCTCCTTCTTAGATGTCTTCGTCTTGATGGGCGGAGGACTTGATCTCGGCTTCAGTTGTTTTCCTCTTCTGTAAGCAGGTGGTTCAAGGGCTCTTCTGAACCTCCGCTTCAGCTTCTCTGCCATCTTCAGCTTGGTCTCTGCTTCCTCAGCCATCTTCATAATCCTCTCTTTCTCCTCGTAAGTTTCGCTCTCAGCCATCTTGACAATGCCAAGCGGCAAGCAGTCGAGTGTGAACACTAAGGACTCCATCTTTAACTCAATTCCGTTCATCATATCGTACAGACCCAGAATTCCGTCATTAGGACCTATGCACGTCTCGTAGACATCTTCGACAAACACATGAAGATTTAAGACGCTCTCAGAAACAATCAGATCCATAAACAATCCATATAACAGTTCTCTGGCCTTATCCTTGAGCGATTGAACTTTCTCCTCTTCCCAGGTTATAGCAGCCTCAAGGTCCTTGATTTTACCCCTCAAGAAGGCAGGCTCAGTCTCGAAATGCTGCCGCGCTTGTTCCAAACCTCGCTGAACAGTGTGAGTAGGATCTGACAAAGATTGAGAATGTAACAAGGCGTTCAAACTCTGCAGCTCCATGTCTTTGAACACTTGGATAAGATCGCCTGTTTCAGTAAAATACAACAAAGGTTCTTCCCCTCTGTTTATATCCGTCAGACATAAATCCAACAACGCATCTAGTGAAAGAGTCGATTCCGTCAAAGACAATCTACATTGACCGAAGAGTGTCGACATCTCGCTTGCAAGTGTGACGGAACCGTCTTTATTCCTGTTTAAGTAATCATGTTTCTTCCTCCAATCCATCGGACTGACCATGTACAAGAACTTTTGTAACATTTTACAGTTTCTCCAGTTTTCCGCTAGGATGTGTAACTGACATTTGACGGTCCCTAACTGCTTGTCAATTTCCTTCAATTCACAACTCATACGAGCTGATTTCTCAGCTTCTTCTTGAGCATCAAGAAAAATCCTTTTTGATGATTCATAATCTTCCTCTAGAAACTCTTCGAAGCTATCAGCATATAGCTTATGCATCGATTGAACTTTATTCAACCTCTTCTGTTCGTCTTTGAGATTCTCTTCAATTTGCATAGCTTCATCCATCTGGTATGCCACTTTGAGTCTCGTCCTCAACGTCTCCCTCACTTCCTCTACATATTTCCTGATGCCGAACTTTTCTTTGATCGGGCGACCTTGTATTATTTTAAAGAACTGGGGATCGATGTCCAGGAGTTCGGGCTCTCTGCTCTCATCCACCTCGTCATCTGGTATGTACAGCCTGTTTAAGATATCCATGTTCTGGCGTGATCTGAAATTCGGCTTGGTGCGGACGTCGTACTGAGATTCTTTTTCTCTTAAACTCTGTCTCCACGTTTTGTAGCCGAACTCCTTTGTGTCCGGAGGATACCAAAAGGGTGTTAACTCCTTGGTAACATCTCTCGCGGTGCTCTTGGTAACTCCCGTCCCGGTAGTAAAGTAGTGCACGGACCTGCCTGTGTATTTCTGGTTGAAGATGCAATCCTGAAGAGAAGGTCTCTTCACCTTTCCGTTGAGTCGTAAATTCTTATCAGCTTCGGGTTTCGTCGTTGATAAGAATGAGCATGGTTTGATACCAGAAGCCATTGCGTCGATCAAATCAGGTAAGGAAACTTATCTGTGTAACCGAAATATGATTAACACCTACAAATTAAAACTGACTGTGAGCATTTATAGTTTTCTTGGCACAAACGTAGCTCTGACGGAGTGAAGATTTAAACATGTCCACACACTTTCACGCACAGAAAAGTCAAAGACAAACAGGACAGTAACACATTTTAAGGTTTTTGAGTTTTATTTCAAATGGAAATAAAAAGAATAGGACGAAACACACCCTATTTTGCTCCCGTTTTCGGTAAAATAAAACTTTTTATTCTCACTTTTAACGTAAGATTCTTGTCAAAGATAAATTTCACGAACAAAAAGAACGAATTATTCCACACTCAACATATTTACAAAGATCTGTAAGTGAATTCTTACCAGATATGATAAATAAATGTCCATCGACCCGTTCCCACCATTTTTTCACTTGCAACAGCTGGTCAGAGCTTGTTACGAATTACCTACCTCCCCAGAACTGGCCCTAATGGGGCTCTAACCACAATCCTTCCGTGTATCTGAACGTCGGCGCTAACGTCGCCTGGCGTTTGTAACTCAGGGCGTGTCAGTTCGTACCAGTTGTGGCGCCACTACTTTGTTACTGTC